AGTAGGACTGATGTCCAGCCTCACATCATCCACGGAATCTCAATCCTTTGCACACTCTTGTAGTGCAGCCACTGCCCTCACACTGTTTTAGCCTCTATTCCAAGGTTTATTGAACACAAGCTTACAGCCCAGTGATCTCAGCCAGGTGTTCAGCATTCCTGAGTGTTCCACAGCTCACCAACAGCCATCACAAATCCATCCCATCCATGTCTTGGCCTCCTACTCCTTCCAGTTCCCTCCTCTTCAACTCAAAAATTCATGAACATGTGAGTTCACCGGGGACAACCACGTCTGGCTCTTCAATGAACTTCATAAATTGTTACTTTCTCTGAAATTAAATATTTGTGTGTATGTGTCTGTTGCAGGGGTTTAGATCTTTTTCTTTTTTTTTTTTTAAAACAAACCAACAATGTCTTTTTTCCACAGAAAAAGCAGCATGGTGTCAGTAACATGGCAAGGGAAACAGCTCACATGAACCTGTACATGTGGTGTACAGGTGTGGTCATGGAGTGATGATAGTGCCTGGTACCTTTTCCACTGGTATGAAGAAAAGCAGAGGCAGCATAGCAAAGCCTCCATCAATACCTCCCCAGACTCAGCTGCATTTTCACTGTAGGGATTTGATTTTTATTCATTTCTGTCGGCCCAATGCCTGTGGTCTCACTGGGGGATCAATCCCCCTGCACCAGGCACCATTCCAGGTGCAGCATGAGGTACCACAAGCTGTAACCCCTCCCAGAGCAGGAGCAGGGACAAGGAGCATGTCAACTCCATGCTTCACGTTGTGTACAGCACCTCAGGATGCAGGAGGGATGAGACCAGCTGAATCTAAAGATGCTGGACACAAAGCTGCCCACGGCTCATCTCACCCATGTCCCCTCTGCAGTTCCACAGTGGCTGGTCATCCCCTCCTGGCTGATCAGAGAGGAGAGGGTGTGGAGCTGCTGGTGCAGGGCTTGGATGCACAGGATTCCCAAGCCAACGAGCTGCACCAGGAACAGACTCCCATCAGAAAGCTGCCATCATGCCAAAACCAAGAGAAAGGAGATAAAACCCCAGGGGATGAGGCGGGGAGGAGTGGAGGGAATGGGCAGGACAATTACATTAACTGAAACAATGTGTTATATTTTAAACATTAAAAACTTATGACTCTACATGGCAAGTACCTGATGCAGAGAAGGAGGAGAAGGAAACTGAAGCCATGGTTAAACAATGCACAAGGCATCAGGGTCTGGTTTGTATTAAATCCATTTGGAGTCTGAGTTTCTCCTTTGACAGCTGGCCACACTGCTCAAAGGGAATAAGAAAGTTTTTGTTTTTTAAAAAAGATGTGTAATGGGTTTCTTATGTACTAGAAAAGAAACGCTTTCTGAGCTGGATCACCTATTTTCTTGTCAAAAGACTTTGGACAAAACGTAATCATGAATAAAATGCCTCATGATTTTTCAAAGGGCTCTTTTATTTGAAGTCAGCTTTTCTGAAATGGGAGGCAGGACTGGGTAATGCAGCTCAGGGCGGGAGGCAGCTCTCACGCCAGGCCTCTGCTCTGGCCTCTCTGGCCACACCGTGCCAGACCCAAGCACCAGCCCATGAATGTGCTACAGCTCCATGCTGGACATCACCTTGCCAAGGTCCAGGAGACCTGCAGCCATTGCTCAGGCCATTGTCCTCCCAGCCCTGTCTCAGCTCCCTCTGAGCAGTGTTGTGCTCTGAGGGGACCTGGCAGTGTAGAGACTGGGGGTACACCCACTGTCACCACCTCCCAGGGACTGAGACTCTCATAAATCCAAGCAAACCTGAGAACTGTTTCTGGCTTTTGGTCAGTCTGGGGGTTTTCTTGGCTCTTGCCAGCTGTTAATGGACAGAAGATTTTCAGCCCTTTGTCATGGACACCCAGTAGCAGAGAGGACACTGGAATTTTAATTGTTCAAGAGCTCTAATAGGTGTAATAGCCTTGTGTGTTACATATGCATTAATTAAGTAACACTGCATTTAGCTCCAAATCATGCGGAAGGCGCGTGCTGTGTTTGCACAGACATAAATATCTCCTCAGTTAGAGCGCAGGCGAGCAGCTCTGCTCCCTTTGCACTGCAGTGCTTCCACTCTGGGGAAAATGGGAGCCTTGGAAAGCTTATCCCTGGCTAGTCCCTGTTCACTGGGTAGGAGCTCAGCACATCCACGTCTCCTCCTCTCAGACAGGCTTTCCGAAATGATCTCGTTTGTGTGGTGCCAGCACTGGGAGAGCCTCTGCAGTGATTCACACCTTACCCACCACCCCAAGTAAATGAGCTGGTTTCTTGTTTTGGGGTCCCCCTGTATCCAAATCTTTCAGCCCTGCTCCTTCACTGCAAACACCCTCCTTGCAGCAATCTTTAAGCGTTAAGAACAGTGTGGAGAGAAACTGCAAGGAGAAAGAGAAAACAAAAGGATCCGGCATTGTCAATGTAATGTATTCTCATCGTGATCCACAGGGAACTTCCATGCCTTAGACAGGAACGTACCAGCACGTCGTCAGTGGAGAGCTGCTCATGTCAAACCCCCAGTATTGCTGCTCTCACTTTGCTGCTTCAGTGCAACCTGGTTCTGAAGCAAAATGTGAAGCTGGAATCCCACGTGTTGGATGAGCTCGGATACACAGGCTGGACAAATATTTGGAAAAGTATTCGCCTTCACTAGGCAACATTATGCAATGTGGATTAATTATTCAGAGTATGGTCCTGACTGGGCTTTGGATGATTAAAGCTGTTCTGGAATTCCAGAGGATTACTTAAATGTGCAGCATTAGTGGAGGTAAAACATCTTCAATATCCTTTTCCTGCAGTCTCCATTTCCTTGAGAGAAATATGCAGATTAGAGCTCAGAATTAATCTGCAGAGGCTCTGAGCTGGGCTCCTGCCCCCAAAGAGTATTGGGAGGTGTGGGGCAAGGAGAGGGAGGGCTCTGGGAAAGGGGAATACTAAGGGAGAGACATTTTATATGTTTGTAAAGCAATCACAAGAAACAAGCTACTTATTCCACATGTTTTAGTCTGGGAGAAAAGAGCCTGGATGCAGGCACAGTAAGTGCAATCTATATGTGTAATTAAGAAATGATTTCCTGAGATCTTCCTTAAAACACATCTGAATACAGATCAAATTTGCATAAATAACTTATGCCTTTCACTTTTTCCTTGTGGAAAACACATAACATTGCCTCTTGCTTTCTGGTTTCCAGAGCTTGCCTGGCTCAGAGGAGGATTTGCCATATTACATGATTCTTCCCAATTGTAATCAGCCTTAAATCTGAATAAAAGCAGCAAATGGCTGACTGGCACCCAGGCTTCCCTCCCTCCCTGCCCCCATGGCAGCGGCAGCAGCGGCTTCGAGCGGGAAAAGACACGACTGCAGCGCTGGGTTTGCATTAGTATTCATGGAGCATCCGACTCCAGAGAGGATTAATAGACTCTGATGCCTAATATCCTGGAGAACAATTAATTTGCCCACAGTTTTGTCATGGTTGAAAGTCAAATGCTGGAACAGATCGATGCACTGAGCTGCAAGTTGAACACTGCAACCTTCTGCTGGAGCTGAATTTTAATTTTCCCATCATCATTTCCCTCCATTCCCAGCACACCAGTTTTCTAATAGATCTAAAAGCCTCTTACCTTCTTCCATCACATGTTGGGCTTCATAACAAAAGTCCACGTTGATTGTTCAAATATTAGAGCCTTGTATTGCTCTCCATTACGGGATTAGAGATGTTCGAGGCCCCTTGTGTTTTGACCTTTTCCTGTCTCGTTTCTCTTTAAATGGTATGAAAAATGCCAACCTTCTGTAATTAAAGCCAAAACGGAATGCAGGAATAAAGCTTTTTTTCCTTGCAATTATTCAGTATTTAGGTTCCCGTTTTGATAGAAGTGTTTGCGCAGAAATCAAGGCTGGGGTTTATCAAAGCTGGGTCAACAGACCCGTTGGGAAGGGCTGGCAGCTCCTTATCCAGCCCACAGAGCCTGCAGCAGCCAGAGCTGTTGCCCTGGGCTTGTGCTGGCCTGGGAGATGATTCCCTGTTCCACCAGATCATCCAGCGAGTTTGAGCAAGCCACTGAATCAGTGCACACAGGGGAGAAAATATATCAATAAACAGGCTCAGATGGTTGTCGTGGGAAAGTAGTGTAAGCATCAGAAAAAATTACTTTTATATATATATATGTAAATATATATATATATGTGTATATAAAGAGTGCAGATGTCCCCATGGGCACAGCACCATGCCCAGTGCCTGGGTAGGGAGTGCTTGGGGCAGCCCTGCAGCCCTCCTGGCTCTTCCTTTCATTCCAGGGGTTCACCTCTCCCTTGCAGTAGCTCAGAAAGCTCTGGACACATGGGAGGGGTGATAGAGACCCTGCAGCAGGGCTGGGAGCAGGGATGGGCTGGCTGGAGGCACTTCCCTGCTGCCTTCACTCCATTTCTCCCAGTGGAGGTAACAACACCTTGCCAGAGGCAGGTTTAAGGATCAATATGAAATGAGTCTGCAAGGGTGGGAAGGCATCAAATGCCACCAAGTGCAGACTGTGCCCATCACTCCGCTCAGCCTCGACCAGAGCTCAGCCTCCAGCCCCTGGGGCTGGATTCTCCAGTCCCTGCAAAGGGAGCCAAGTCCTTTCAGCTGAGATCCTGCAGCACAGCAGGCAGTAGAGGGTCCTGTCCCACTGCCTGTGTGAAAACACCTTCCTGTCACACTAGGCTTGTGACACATCCTGGCACTGCTCCTCTCATGCACCATCAGGAGGCTCCCAGCACAGTGCCTGGTTTTCCCAGAGACAAAAAAGGACACAATGGGTTAAGAGCAGGACTGTATGACTCTTCCCAAGCTATTGTGCTGTTCCTTCAGCATTTCTGGTGTCCAGGCTTTTGTGGTTTAATTATGGTCTGCTCCAAATGGTCTCAACCAACAGATCAATATATCAGGAACATTAGAATTGTTAATTTGAATGGCTGATTTGAATTTAAGTGCAACTTCAATTTAATCATTTTAGAAATGAAACTACATGTGAGGGCCCTCCTTCTCCTTCTCCTCACCCAGCACAGCAGCTCCAGTGCCCCATGGGGATCACAAAACCCCCTGACATGCACATTCTCCTTCAGTCAAGAGCTAAGCCCTATGAGCTGCTGGATCATGACAAAAGTGGGGGTTTAGCAGCCTTTCCTACAAGCATGGTAATCCCAAATCCAACAGTGATTAACTTGGACTCACAGCTCACAGCAGAAATTAAGTCTAAATCAGGATCCTGGAGCCACGTCTCTCCAAACCCTTTCCAAGGCTGATTGCCGATGTATGAGCAGGCAGAAAACAGCCCAGATGTCTCAACTTTCCCAATTCATCCGGAATTCTGCCAGCTGCAGGGGCTGCCCTGCTGCCTGCCTGGAGGACACAGTGCCACTGGGCAGCTGCCAGAGCTGCTGGAGCTGCTGGCCACAGGAGTCATGAGAAGCACAGGGATTCCCCAGTGCCACCAGTTCTCACAGCTTCTGGCCAGGACTGGTGTCACATCCTAGAGTCACCCTGGACATCAACAAAATAAACCAGAAGCACATTAGGAAATGAATAAGACAGAATGTCTTGGTGCAATTTTTGCAAGTAAAGCTGTGTGAGCTTTGGGGTGACCGTATTGCAGCCTTCCAGCACCTGAAAGAGCTGACAAAAAAGGAGAGGGACTATTTACAAAGGCCTGAAGTGACAAGGAGGACAGCTTCATACTGAAAAAGGGAAAATTTAAGTTAGATATTAGCAAGAAATTCTTCTGTGTGAGGGTGGTGAGGCCATGGCACAGGTTTCCCAGAGAAGCTGTGGCTGCCCCATCCCTGGAAGTGTTTGAGGCCAGGTTGGACAGGGCTTGGGGCAACCTCATGTAGTGGAAGGTGTTCCTGGCATCTCAGGGGGTGGAACTGCATTATCTTTAAAGTCCCTTCCATCTCAAACTATCCTGTGGTTCTATGATTCTGTCATTCTATAAACTTATTAGTCAAGAAAAATGAAAATGAAAGCATTCACCAATCTCCTATAACAGTAACAGACTGGGTCTGAAGCTCTGCTCACGTACATGTGATTTTTCTGACTGCCACACATATATCCAGCTCTCATTTCATTTATCAGCCATGAAATGCTCAGATATAAAGGTAATGCAACTTCCAAGCAAACATTTCTGAATCTTTCAACAGCCATTCCAGAGGGACCAAATTTCAGAAAAAAGTCCAGATGAGGGCAGATCTTGAGGGGCCTCTGCCTGCCTTGGGCCACTCTGATGCACCTGCAGCTTTCCTCCCAGAAAAGAAAATCTGCAATCAGCTTGTGCAGGAAAGCCAGGGAGCTTTACTGGGCAGAAAGCTGTGCTGGCTATGTGGAAACAAAATGGGAAAAGAAAGATTTTGAGAAAGCAGAAAGAAAGGGAAAAGGTCTGTCTGTTCTCTTATTGCTATCCAGTATCAGTCCACTGGCCCCAGCAGCACTGGGTCTGATTCTGGCAGCCAGACCTGGGTCTGCCTTTGGAGAGGTAAAAGCTGGACCAAGAGCCCAAAACTTTGCCCTCAGATTAAGCTGCTGCTTTTTTCTGTGACAGATTAAACCAAACATTCTTCTTGGTGTTACTTTGTTGGCCAATGCATCAGGCTGACTGACAAGCACCGACTGCATCCTGAGAACAATCTGAAGGCAACCCAGGGAACCCACCCAGATGGTGCTCAAAAGCCTTGCGGAGCAGAATGGGCTCTGCTCGACGCAGGAATTTCGCAGCAGGAACAAAGGGAACTTTGCAAACAGAGCTTTGAAACAGAAGTCATTTTATCCAGCATGCCTGCAGGAAACAAGAATCCATCTTCCAGAACAATCAAACACAGAGCTGTGCATGGGCATAATTATTAGGGGAATGATGGCAACAGCAGAGGAGCTCATCAGTCAGAAAGCTGCATAATTCCTAAACTGTCTCTTATGCTGAACCACCTGGATTTAAAGTAACATTTGCAGAGAAGATGAATGAATCCTCCTACCCAACATGCCTGAAGTCACACCAGCAGAAGGGTCACTGCAGGCATCAGATGTGTCAGGTCTGCCCCATGCTTGGGTACGTTCAACTGTCCAACCCTTCTGACAGGCCTTCCCTCCTGTCCCTCGCATTTGTGGGGACAATGAAATATCAGGGAAATTGTGTGTTTGCTTTTGGGGTATTTTTTAGAATCTGTGTTCTGCATTCCCAATCCTAGCAATAGCTGTGAGTAGCAGAGGCTGTGGCCAGGAACAGACTACGGGCAGGCAGAGGCCAGCTGTCACTGAAAGGATTTGTTTGTGTGATTCTCCCTCCACCTTCCTAGAGATGCCACACATTGTTCACAGCTCAGCAGCTCTCTCCAAGGCTGTCCTGTCTGGTAAAAACAGGATTGTTTAAATAACAGAGCAAGGCTCTTGGCTCTGCTGGATGCCATTAAAATGGAGACAAGGAAAGGCTCAATCTGGTGGGACTCCCACCACCCTTGTGCCAAGGCCAGGCCTCAGTGCCAGACCCTGCCAGCCTTGGGAGGGCATCCCAACACCCACCTGAGCTCCAGCACTCGAGGGCGGGTGAGCGAGCTCTGCCGAGCGTGGCTGCCAGAGTGCAGATTGGCAGTTGGCAGGAAGAAGAGCTCAGAATATGCCAAAAAGGCCAATTCCAGCCCTCTCACCAAACCTGCCAGAAGAATGAGCCCCATCCAGGCAGGGACGGGTTCCTTGCAGATGTTCGGCTCTCAGCTGCAGGGGACCTGTGTGGATGTGGCTTGACAAGCACTTTCAGCTTCACAGGGCTTCCTCAAAATTGCTGCAAGAATCTCCTCTAATATTTAAGACTCTCCTTTTTTAAGCATTTCAGTTTCTTGAAGAACGGAGAGCTCTGTCCTGGGGAGCTCATTCCGAGGGAAGAGTGGGATTAAGAACTTCAAAGTAGAATTCTCCCCTGTGACAAGTTCTTAGAAGAGACCCTGTCCAAGAGTTATCACATCTCTCCAGCAAAGGAAAAGATTTGCCATGAGAATCCTTCTGGGCTCACAAACTTGTGCAGAGGCGGAGATTTCTGCCAGCAGCGGCTGCTCTCCAATGGGAAGCACACCCTCCTCCCGGAGGTGTGAAATCTCCAAGGAGGGCAGGCTTCTTCCCACGTGGCAGCCGGGGAACATGCCAGCAGAAGCATGTGCTATTTTAGGAAGGCAGGAAAGGAATGAAAAGGCTTTCAGAGGACTGAAAAGCCAACGTGGGATGGATGGAAGGATGACAACTGGCTCCAACTGAAAGAGAAAAACTGATGGGCTGGAGAGGAGAGAGGGAATGTAGCCTCTGAGTGTGGGAAAAGACTCCTGTCCCACTGTGCTGCTTCCCTGGGGTTCACTCTGAGAGTTGGGACACACAGTCCAGTCCCAGCCCCAGCAGCATCCCAGAGGATGGCACACCCTGTGGCAGACAGCCTGGTGATGCAGTGCCAGTGCAAACTGGGAAAGCAGACAGGGCTGTGCTCTTTGTCTGTGCGGCTGTTCTGGGCTGTCCAGAACAGGTGAGAAGTATCAGGCTGTCCAGAGCAGGCCAGGTATCAGCCTGGATCAGAACAGCTACAGAAACACCAAAAGGAAAATATCCTTTTGCCCCCTGTGTC